ACCTTCTGGGAAAAAGAAAATGTTATTTGAGTGCAGATACCTTTCGAAACAAAGACAAAAAATAAATAAAATATATAACAGCTGTTACCCTGAAGGATTTCTACTAGGACATCAATTTTCAGACACGTTAATACACTTGAAGCATCAAGGGCAAAGAACAGATACTGTTGTTCTTGCTGCAAATTAGACAGAGGCAGGCAGGCTGAATTAATGTCTATGGTTTGCTTAACCTTTTCCCTCTCTTGCACATTGCTTACAATGAAATGTAAATGTAAATCGGACAACACCAATCACTTACATGCAGTAATGTGAGGGTTAAAGCAATATCCAAGAGAGCTCGCTCCCATTCAATATCATGCAACTTGGAAATGTAAAAATAAAAAAATCACAAAAAGGGGGGAAGACAGTCTGCGTTGCACACACCTACCAGAGGATGAGTGTAGGCAAAAGGAGACAAGATATACGACAGTACAAAACATCACAGCTCTGCAAAACTATGCACATAATCACTGCCTTTGTTTTTGCATTTACAGAGCCTCCCTGGGTAAAATTAAAAGTGCCTTCTCTTCAATCTTCCGGCTTGTGTTATATTAGTAATCAGCCCTTTGCCTAACCTTAAAGCCATTTTCCCTTGGCTGCTGGAGGGCACGCTTACACTCTGTTCTTGTATGTCCTATCTGTGTGTAGACACTGTGCCCATCTTGATACCCAGGGAGCCTCACACCCTTGTGAAGGGCATGTTGAAGGACCAGTGTCTGGGATCTGGCTGGTTTCCTGCTGGAGGGGCAGTGCCATGTTCAGATACTCAATCTTGCTTGCCCTTCGCTCGCCTTGGGATCGGACAAACTCACTGCTGTCTGTCCCGCCAGGCTGAATGACAACCTATGATGAACTAAATACCTTGTCTAGTGAAAGTGAAACTGGCACTAGATTAACTCCTTTATCAGTGTATGTAACAATCACTTATATATTATTGATTTAAGAAAGGAAGCATTAAATACTAGTGTCTACTAAACCTGTGTCAGCTGTATCTCAAATCTGGTAGAGAAAATGGTCTATGGCAGAGGTAGCCAAATTTCAGGCCTCCAGCTGTGGTAAAACTACAGATCTTATCATGCTTCTGCCTCTGGAAGTAATGCATGTGGCTATCAAAGTCTTGCGATGCCTTATGGGACCTGTATTCCCACAAAGCTGGAGGGCCGAAATTAGACTACTACTGGCTTATGGTCAGATAAGAGAACTTGAATGACCCATGTTTCTCTGCATACATCAAAGTGTTATCAATGCAAATATTCTAATGAAAACAAAGCCTTTGAAATATTTCAGACATTATCTGACAATGAGGGGAATTTATCAAAACTGTAGCAGACAAAATGTGGAGCAGCTGTGCATAGCAACCAATCAGCTTCTCTCTTTCAATTAAAAATAAACTGATGAGAGAAGCTGATTGGTTGCCGTGGACAACTTCTCCAGATTCTGTCTGATCCAGTTTTGATAAATTCCCCTCAATGAGTACTGTTAATGGTTAACTGTACAAAAGGCAGATGATGAACAGTGCACCTTTAAACAGTAAAACAAGCTTTCCACCAAATGCTGGGCCTGTGGCAGTATTTACATCTTCCATCAGGCCTGACTCTTATTGCATTGAATCCATAAGTCCGGCCATTATGCACCATGGGCCAGTCTGATACCTGGAAACCACAGTGGCTGAGTGGTTAACATGTGGTTGGCAGGGCTGTACTAAACCAACATACACCAATGACCAGGCTGCTAGACTAGTCCCCGCAGCCTCTTCTCCCCTGGGCTCTGGTGATCTAAGGACTGCTGACGTCATCATGCCTTATGCAGGTCCATTGACTTGTATTAAACATGAGGATGCCGAGGGACATTGCACAGCCAAAGCAGAGGGGGACAGAGGTGAGTGGGACTAAGGATCGGGTGATTATATCAGCTAACTTTCAGTCCTCTAGAAAAAAAATAGTACTCAACCCTTGCAGTGGGGGGTTTCCACTCCCCTATTAAAGTAGCAGCTTGAATTAAAGTAGATGTAAACGTGAATCCCTAAGTTCTTTCATAAGTTTTCACATTGTAGTGTTATTTAAAAAGTGAACTGTAGTCTTTTTGAATATGTGGCTTACATAAAAAAAAATACATGGTGATCCTGCTCAAGCACTTCCTGCTATGGGATGACAACTGTCTCCCAACTGTGCTTCAGCATTGTCAACCTATCACATGCACCCCTGGTTGTAACACACATCTGCAGGCATGGTCCACCGTTGCCGCTATCAGGAAGCTGATCCAGAGCAATGATGTGCAGCCAAACCTGGAGCGAGTGCATATAGACCGGAAGTGGGGTGAAACAAGCGGGACGGAGATGAAAACAAGTATAAACAATGTTTTGTGAAAAGAAAAATAACAACATTTTTCAGAATACACATTGCTTTAGGTCAGGGTTAAGATCTATTTTAAGTGCACTACTATAACGGTGAAGTTCCCCCTTTGCCGCTGTGAAGTGCACTACTATCATGAGTCTTCATGTGAAAATCAACAGCACACTGGGAGCCAATATGTAAATACCAACTTGAGAATGAAAAGTTGAGAGCGAGCCCAGACATGGTACTGAATAACAAGGTATATAAGGGCTTGCAAGCATTGCCTGTGCACTGCCTCCAGGCTGAATAGGAACCACCTACTGCTGTTTATAAAAATTATAATGTACAGCAGTCATATCTAAAAACCTGTCAAAGAGTTGAGGCTTCCAGGAGGTGTTACCATGAGGTCTGAGGGCTCTCTGATCACACCAAGGGCAACTGATTTCAAACTACATTGTGGTGTCATCTCTTTGGTGTGTAGAGATCACAGGATTACTTTATAGAGATCACAGGTTTACGTGAAAGGATTTTACCTACTTTGTAGCACCTTATTCTTTTTTTAAATTACATTTGGACTTTAAAAGGAAAACATGCACGAGACCCAGAAGAAAGGATGTTAGCTGAAAAAAGCTCAAAGAGCGCTGCACAAGGTGAGTACACAGGTAGTAGTGTTCTGCTGCCCTCTAGTGAAAAGAGGAGAATAAAGCATGCAAGAAAGTGACTTACAATTCAACAAGGTTGGGAAGCTTCTGGGCAAGATTTTCTGGCTGCAAAATACAAAGAAAATAGTTTTTTCGCACATTTCTGCACCTGTTTTATGTGGAAATATAATTATGACATCTACAATTAAATAAAAATGTCTTCTACAGAAAACGTCAAACATAAATACTACTGTGCTTGTCATTTATTTTTTTCACCATATACAGGTGAAACTCGATTAGAATATCGTGCAAAGTTCATTTATTTCACTAATGCAACTTAAAAGGTGAAACTAATACATGAGATAGACTCATTACATGCAAAGCAAGATAATTCAAGCCGTGATTTGTCATAATTGTGATGATTATGGCTTACAGCTCATGAAAACCCCAAATCCACAACCTCAAAAAAGTAGATTATTACATGCAATCAATAAAACAAGGATTGTACATAGAACAATATCGGACCTCTGAAAAGTACAAGCATGCATATGTACTCAGTACTTGGTTTGGGCCCCTTTTGCAGCACTTACTGCAATTACTTTTGCACGATATTCTAATTATTCGACTTTCACCTGTAAGTTTCTCCCTGGGCTCTTCAAGGTCTAGTTTACTCGATGGCTACAAAAAAAAAAGCCCAAAAAGGGAATTAATAAAAATTGTCTGAGACAAACGTTGTCTAAACTGGAGCACAGCCAATCGGCTTTTTATTTTCCATATTCTAGACTGTGTAGAAATTGAAAGCTATAAGCCGACTGGTTGCTATGGGCAACTGTACCAGCTGAGATAGAAGTTGTCTCAGACATATCTTATTTATTCTATACACCCATTCCTACTTGGCATTTGCAAGTTACCTTTCAGAATCTTTCAGCTCCAAAATCTTGGAGCTCCTTAGTACCTGATTTGGAGGGCACATTTATAAAACAGTGAAAGTGACTTTCACCAAACATGGTGGTAAATCAATCACTCATTTAAAACACATACACCTGGGAAAGTCACCTGCAGTAAATGTTTGGTAAACGTCAGATTTATTGATTTATAAATATGCCTCTTTATGTCACGGTGTCAATGGCTTCACCAGACAGGAAGTGAGGGGAAATGTCCACAGCAAGACACACAGAAATAAAAATGCGTTTATATAGCAAAGAGATGGTGGAACCCCTGTAGGCTTTTATTATGCTCTGTGTCCCTGTTGAATATTTTCCGTCATTCCCTGGCTGATGAAACACTGGGACTGCGTTAATTACCCTTGTCCGTTCCTAGTTTCCAGACTCGCTGTCAATCAGAATAATTAGTCATAGAGTTATTGTCAAGTAAACTGATGCATATCAACAATGCTAAACGTGGTCCTGCTTCCAAGCTTCAAAAAACTCTGCTCACAAAAGTATTACGTTCTGTTCCTGCTGTTCTCCTTGCTTCAGTGAAACAGTCACTTTGGTGTGGCATAAATATAGAATAGCAACCGTTTTTTTGCTTGTTACTCAAGTCACATCTTAGAGTTTCCAGCTTGAACCAGACCAGTTAATAGTGTTAATCATTAAAGGAGAGTGAGCCTAGGGTGACGGGAGGACGCTAGTTTGTGTCCTCCCGTTACCCTAAGGAGAACTATGGGGAAAAGCCCTGACCCCATAGTTCTCCTTTAAACAAAAGTGAATCAGCTGACAAACATGGCGTCTCAAGAACTAAATAGTAGAAAGTCATGGAATTTTATCTACCATGATAAGTAGCTGGTTGGTGGCAGACCCCCAAGCTTTAGGTAACCCCATTGCAATTTAGCCCATATTGGTTTTCCAAAGCACAGATGAATTACAAAGCTACACTGCCTGTCCAAAAAAATAGTCACTACCTGGGTTTAGCTCAGCAAATAGGTCAGAGCCTTACATTGGATAACAGGTCTAGGTTCAGCAATGTTATGTGACCATAAAATGAGGTCAGCTGCCTATTTGAATGATCAGGTTTTTCCATCAATGGATTTTTTTCTCCCCTTTTAGCACATTGGGCATATTCCAAGATGACAATGCCAGGATTCATTGGGCTCAGATTGTGAAAGAGTGGTTCAGTGAGCATGAGACATCATTTTCGCACATGGATTGGCCACCACATAGTCCAGGACTTAACCCCATTGAGAATCTTTGGGATGTCCTGGGGAAGACTTTACGCAGTGGTCCAACTCTCCCATCATCACTACAAGATCTTGGTGACAAATGAATACAACTCTGGATGGGAATAAATGTTGTGACATTGCATAAGCTTATTGAAATGTTGCAAGGCTGAATGTGTGCCGTAATGATAGCTAAAGGCAGTCCAATTAAATATTAGAGTGTGTGACTTTTTTTGAACAGGCAGTGTATGTCGCTGATGAAACTTGGAAGACTGCAGCAGAAGCAGTGAAAACTCTATACCTTTTTCATGCGATACCTACCAGTGAAGTTAACGAGTTCCTCTTCATGTAAAGCCTCTCAAGATATTGAAGCCCTTCATCCTTCAGCAGCTCCAGAGGAAAATGGTTTAAGTTTCGATAATTTAAGAAGAGATTTTTGTGTCTTTCCAACTTGGCCACAGAGATGGTCTGGCATAGTTCAGAAGCCATATTTGGCTGAGGCCCATCCACCTTGACAAGCAGCTTGTCAACATCTCAAATCATCTCTGAAAGAGAAACAAGATAGAGTGATGGCAGACTAATAGTAGTCACATAATATTTCAATTGTCTACAGTTGTTCCAATCCAATGTACATTGCAGCTTAGTAAAAGATGATTATTTGTAGTAACACATTTAATGAAGTTTAAAAATAAAACAGTTGCAGTGGCTGAGAAGCTGGAAGCTCCGCAAAAAGATTATTTTATCCTTGTGTGGTTAATGATAGTTTGATTGAGCCACTGGTCTTTTAGATCTGTCTGAAGGAGTGGCGAGATTCACACGTTGTAGTGAGGGTTTCCACTAGGGATGCAAACGATACCAAGTACAGTACTCGGTACAAGTACCGATACTTTTCCAGCTCCAAGACTAGACTAGAGAAAAATTCAAAAGTTAGGAGCTCCTGGGATTTGTACATCTCGGTTTTAATGTATAATTTTGTATTTATAAATATAAATAAAGGGATGCACCGATACCAGTTTTGCGAGTACAAGTACTGATACTTGCCCAAGTACTTACAAGTATGAGTACTGATACATATTTGTTTATTGTCATGTGACACATTTTCTAAAACAATACAGACTAATGATTTCAGGACAGTGATGGAGAGCCAGAGCCAGGTCCCAGCTGCAACCTCTGCAACCCTGGTAGTTCTCATGAAAATGCCAAGTATCAGCATTGGTACTCGAAAAGTATCGGTATATCCCTAGTTTCCACCCCGCCTACATGATAAAGGTGCCACTTGCTTCCAGCTGGATTTCTAACAATTTGTTTATTGAAAGTGAAAAAGGAATGGTCTGTGAAAGCATGACCCCATTATTGGCTTCATAATAGTCACAGCTCATGGGGCTGATATCCCTATGTGTTAGGCCTAAGAACCTCTGGGGGATAATTATTCCCCTCTGTGTCCCCTGTGTTTGCTTGGATCCTACTGTAGCTTGCCTCTAGAACAATGGACCTCCTGGAAGGAGGGTTTAGTTGGACAACGCAGTAGTGCAGATCAACCATCTGGGAAGATCTAAAAGCCATTTTGCAGCAAAAGCAGTAGAAAGGATTCAGTCACGGGCAAAACTTCACATCCCGTTAAACAGCTTTCTTCTAAGATATCGGCAGTGGTCCTTTCACTGTTATGAAAAATACAAATTAATTATGTGATTTGATTCTTTTGATATGGTTGAAGCATTATATTTAACCTCTTGCCGTCCGCCCGTAATAGAAAAACGGACGGACGGCACTGCTGCATCTGCGGGTTGCCGTCTCCAGACGGCAATTTTTTTCTGCTCGCGCGCGCCACCTAGCGGGCACGCACGGGCAGAAAAGACCCGATCAATGCACACACCCGGTACCGGGTGTCACACATATAGGCGATCAGCGGGTCCATAGCCCGCCGATCGCTTATATGTGCTCGTTCGCGGC